TCTGACCACTTAGTGTATACAGCCCTGCAGATAGAAGATGTACATTTCCCAATCACCTATGAACAGACAGACTCAAATAGCACCTAAAGGACCAGCTGACCTGACTTATAATGGAAAACCCGTCCCACTTGGTGCCAAAGTACCAAAATAAAATGCAGACATGAGCCGAAAAATGATTGTTTGAGATCACTTCATTGGCATACGTTGAGTTGCTTCGGGGGTCAATTTAAACCAATATGGTCTGTTGTGGTTTCTTAAGTGCGTTGCATTAGGGCAGCCTATTTATTATGAATGGCCTACCTACTCAACTCAACGCACCATTTAGCGGACATGCACCTTTTACGTTGTGGTGCAATGCGGTGCATTGTGTGTTAGCAGCTACTGCGCAGTGTGTGGAGATGCCATTAACACCTTCAGTAGGTACCAGAACACGAGGCCTCGCTGCAGTAACGATGGCAGATATTTAGATGACGCTGTCACACAAAAATATAATGATGGTTGAAAGATAAAAAGGAATTTGGTTTTAAATGTTTGCAGAACTAAGGAATGAAGAAATCAGCCGTGCATTACCTGCCTACTCGGACCCGGCGTGGAGACAGGTGGCTGGACAATGAAACTCCACGGAACTGGCAAGGACTGTGCCCTGACACTCCCTCCTGGGGGGGCTTTATATCATGTCAGACCAACCTGTGGGAAAACTCACCAGTCTCCCACCTGACGCCTCTTTATTCTTCCATTTGCTTACGGTAAACAAGCAAATGAATCGATAACCTGGAGGTCAGAAGTGTTTTTGTCGGGTTTAGTAAAAGCTGATTAGACATTTAGACATTGGTAAAGCTGATTAGTTATAGAAAAATCTAATATTAGGACTGTCATAGTAACTACGTGGCTCTAAAGATGGACCCATTGGTAGTTGAGGGTCAAGTTGTTGGAAGGAGCAGTAGGTATGTCCTCCTTTCCTCCTCAACTGTCCTCCTTTCCTCCTCAGCTGTCCTTCTTTCCTCCTCAGATGTCCTTCTTTCCTCCTCAGATGTCCTTCTTTCCTCCTCAGATGTCCTTCTTTCCTCCTCAGATGTCCTTCTTTCCTCCTCAGATGTCCTTCTTTCCTCCTCAGATGTCCTTCTTTCCTCCTCAGATGTCCTCCTTTCCTCCTCAGATGTCCTTCTTTCCTCCTCAGTTGTCTCTCTTTCCTCTTCAGTTGTTTCTCTTTCCTCCTCAGATGTCCTTCTTTCCTCCTCAGTTGTCTCTCTTTCCTCTTCAGTTGCCTCTCTTTTATCTTCAGTTGTCTCTCTTTCCTCTTCAGTTGCCTCTCTTTCCTCTTCAGTTGTCTCTCTTTCCTCTTCAGTTGTCCTCTTTTCCTCCTCAACTGTCCTTCTTTCCTCCTCAGTTGTCTCTCTTTTATCTTCAGTTGCCTCTCTTTTATCTTCAGTTGTCCTCTTTTCCTCCTCAACTGTCCTTCTTTCCTCCTCAGTTGTCTCTCTTTTATCTTCAGTTGTCTCTCTTTCCTCTTCAGTTGCCTCTCTTTCCTCTTCAGTTGCATCTCTTTCCTCTTCAGTTGCCTCTCTTTCATCTTCAGTTGCCTCTCTTTCCTCTTCAGTTGCCTCTCTTTCCTCTTCAGTTGCCTCTCTTTCCTCTTCAGTTGTCCTCTTTTCCTCCTCAACTGTCCTTCTTTCCTCCTCAGTCGTCTCTCTGTCCTCTTCAGTTGCCTCTCTTTCCTCTTCAGTTGCCTCTCTTTCATCTTCAGTTGCCTCTCTTTCATCTTCAGTTGTCTCTCTTTCCTCCTCAGTTGTCCTCTTTTCCTCTACTGTCCTTCTTTCCTCTTCAGTTGTCTCTCTTTCCTCTTCAGTTGTTCTCCTTCCCTCCTCAGCTGTCCTTCTTTCCTCCTCAATTGTCCTGAGGAGGAAAGAAGGACAGCTGAGGAAGACAGGAGGGCAACCGGTGATCATTCCAAAAGCGTGGACAAGAGAAGAAAGTGTTCCCACACGCCCTCCCTCAATTTTTGTATGTCAGCTGAGTCAGATTATATGAAGTTTTGTCACAGCAACTTGGCTGGTGGGGGGGGAGGGGGAGGGGGGTGGTCTTTGGGAGCCAGTGGAATAGTGGAAAGGTTACAAAATGCAGGGCTTCCCCTTTTGGTATCGGTTGCTCTTGGTCACTTGGGGAGGTGGCTGCGGACATTGTTGGATGATTGTCAATCATTTGGCTGGTGGACACCCCAAGGACCCAGCTCTTAAAATCCATAAGTTGTCCTGTTTTTATGGGGTACGGTTTTATTTGGGGTATTTATTAAACTGTTTGTTGTTTCATTGGTTAAATAAATGGGGTGCTGTGGCCATTCCAAATCCCCATGGCACCGGAAAACTGTTATGAGGCCATTGTTCTTTGTCTTTGCTGACATCTTGGTAATAATTCTTTTTTTGGAGTCCCAGTGTGGTAAAACAATGTCTTATTTGTGTCCTTGGCTTAAAAGATTTAAGAACCGCTGCCTTATATCATAAAGTATGTCAACAACGGACGCTCCCCCAGATACGCTGTCCATGAAGAATGAATATGAGGGAAGACGGACAACTGAGGAAGAAAGTGGGACTACTGAGCAGAAAAGAAGAACAACTGAGGAGGGCAGAGGGAAAACTGAGGAAGAAAGAAGGAGCCTTTATAAGGAAAGAGGGACAACTGAGGAGGAAAGAAGGACATCTGCTGAAAAAAAGAGGGACAACTAAGGATGAGAGAACAACTGAGGAAGAAATATGGACAACTAAGAAGAAAAGAATGAAAATTGAGGAGGAAAAATGGACAACTGGGTAGGAAAGAGGGACAGGGGAGGATGAAAGAAGGTCAGCAGAAGAATGAAAAAGGGCAACATAGAAGGAAAGAAGGACAACTGAAGAGGAAGAAAGGACAGTTGATGAGGAAAGGAGGACAGTTGATGAGGAAAGGAGGACAGTTGATGAGGAAAGGAGGACAACTGAGGAGGAAAGGAGGACAACTGAAGATAAAAGGACAACTGAGGAAGAAAGAGGGGCAGCAGAGGAGGAAAGGAGGACAGCTGAGGAGGAAAGGAGGACAGCTGAAGAGGACAACTGAGGAGGAAAGGAAGACAACTGAGGAGGAAAGAAGGACAGCTGAGGAGGACAGCTAAAGAGGACAGCTGAGGAGCAAAGGAGGACAGCTGAGGAGGAAAGGAGGACAGCTGAGGAGGACAGCTGAGGAGGACAACTGAGGAGGACAACTGAGGACAGCTGAGGAGGAAAGGAGGACAGCTGAGGAGGAAAGGAGGACAACTAAGGAGGACAGCTGAGGAGGAAAGAAGGACAGCTAAGGAGGACAGTTGAGGAGGAAAGGAGGACAGCTGAGGAGGAAAGGAGGACAGCTGAGGAGGAAAGGAGGACAGCTGAGTAGGAAAGGAGGACAGCTGAGTAGGAAAGGAGGACAGCTGAGTAGGAAAGGAGGACAGCTGAGGAGGAAAGGAGGACAGCTGAGGAGGAAAGGAGGACAGCTGAGGAGGAAAGGAGGACAGCTGAGGAGGAAAGGAGGACAGCTGAGGAGGAAAGGAGGACAGCTGAGTAGGAAAGAAGAGAGCGATTCGGTTACAGATGGAGGACGGATGGGGACTTTGTGTGCACTGGGGGGTTGTTATCTTCGCTCCCCTGTGCTGTGTCCTCGGACTGGTTCTGGAAGGCCTCTGTTTTGGTGTCGGATCGAGCGGCGAGGGTTTAGAACCTTTGTCTAGTTTAAATTGCTTAGAAGATGAACTACTAACCAGAGTTTTACCCACCAGAGTCCTGAAACATGTTATTATTCGAACAAGCTAAAAGAGATCGGGCCGTGCACTGTTCTGTATAGATATACATACACACTGCCGTGTGTCATACAAATGCATCGTAGCAAGTGCGCACAACGCTCATCAGCGCATGCGTGTCATGCACACGGTAATGTGAACGGCCTGAACAGGCCCTTAGTGGCAGGTTCAACAGATAATAAAGGGGGACTCTGGAATAATAAAGGGGGACTCTGGAATAATAAAGGGGGGACTCTGGAATAATAAAGGAGGGACTCTGGAATAATAAAGGGGGGCTTTGGGATAATAAAGGGGGGGCTATGGAATAATAAAGGGGGGACTCTGGAATAATAAAGGGGGGACTCTGGAATAATAAATGAGGGACTCTGGAATAATAAAGGGGGGACTCTGGAATAATAAAGGGGGGGGGGCACACTTCTGACAGGCTGCATCATGTTATTTCTTATTTTACCACTGTAAGTACTGCACTAGAACCTTTTTGTATGTTGTTATAAAAAACCTCTGCCACGTGTTTCTGTTTTTTTACATTATATTTTATTAAACATAAGAACACAAAGAGACATAATACACAGTACATGGGACATAATACACAATACATGGGACATAATACACAGTACATGGGACATAATACACAATACATGGGACATAATACACAGTACATGGGACATAATACACAGTACATGGGACATAGTACACAGTACATGGGATATAATACACAGTACATGGGGCATAATACACAGTACATGGGACATAATACACAATACATGGGACATAATACACAATACATGGGACATAATACACAATACATGGGGCATAATACACAATACATGGGACATAATACACAATACATGGGGCATAATACACAGTACATGGGACATAATACACAATACATGGGGCATAATACACAATACATGGGACATAATACACAGTACATGGGACATAACCACTTAACCAGCAGCCACAACATGCAGAACTTCCTGAGCTCCATAGCGCATAGGGAAAAGCTATCAACCAATAGCGTATCAACCAACAAGTCATCCACCAATCAACTACTGGGGGGGGGGCGGGACCTGACGTAGCCGTGCCGACTGCCAATAATTGACTTGCTTGTGACCAATAGTCATGTAGAAAAAGAAAACCTGACCGCTCAACAGCCAATCACAGGGCTGTTGAGTCCGGGTTGAAGATGGCGGGAGGTACGGAGCTGAGGAGTGCTGCGGAAGTGTATGAGCGGCTACAGGTGAATGCGGGGTCCCTGGACGGGGCCTGTCAGGGACGCGAGGGTGGGATTGTACAGCTCGGGGAATTTAGCCGGGCCTGGAAGCTGCATGGTGGGCTGAGGACCTGCTGTGGTGGGGTCGGCTAGGAGTGTGCCCGTTCTGGGTGTACGTGAGAGCAGAGAAGGCGATACATTGAATTCTCAGTATGTTGAAGTGCTGTAACCATGGCAACCAATGCACTAAATTCTCGGTTTATTGGTGTGCAGTAACCATGGCAACCATTGCACTGAACCCTAAGTGCCGGGGTGGGCAAACGCTGGCCCTCCAGCTGTGGTGCAACTACCAATCCCATCATGCATCTGACTCAGGGTCGTGGCTGTGAGGATCTTGCAATGCCTCATGGGACCTGTAGTTCCACAAAAGCTGAAGGGCCAGAGTTTGTTTGCCCCTGGCATGGTGTATACACAGACTAAGAACAAGTACTGAGGACCCGCCAG